CAAAAAGAGAACACTTGGATGTTCGACAGATAGACTGCTTTGTTTGATTGAAGTTGGCTGGGATCACTTGCATAAAAGTGATGTCACACACTTCTTACATTATCGGGTTGTTGCTTATATTGCAATACAGCCACTGTCAGTCAAATCTGATCAAAACACGCCCATTTAAGATCAATCTGAATCATGATAAATAACAACTAAGTACGTTTTTTACAAACATTTACCCTAAACGTTGCTTATTTATTCATTAATGTTTATACAAGGACATGGAGACTCACTCAAAAACCAAGTCTTCAGGGTTTTTAACAAATACATAAAAAAGAATAGTCACTTTTATTACATTTAATTCATTATAATGCATTGAATACTGGACTTTTTTATTAATATGAACTGAATATGCCTAAGCCTAGAGTATATTGTTGCATTAAACATACTGTGTGGTGGCAGTTGGACCATAAATAGCTGGTGCTTTATGCTTATTTCACAATTCAAACCATGATTTCCTTTCCTATTTGTCCCCTCTGTCCCTTTGCAATCTCTCTTGGGTCAATTCTTCCATAGCACTGGGCATGCGTTCTCTCAGATTGTCATATGATGAGTAATTCATGATGGAACAGCAGAAATATACATATATATAATTAATGCATTATCATGCACATCACTTATTCATTGTGCCCTGCTAACATTGGCAAATTCTCCAGCGTCCTCTTGTTGCTGTTGCCAAGAGTTTACACTACTTTTACATTTTGATATCTCTCACACAGGGAGATATCTCCTAGATCAACGAGAGTATTGGGACATATTTAAAACGAGCAAAGGGAGACTAGGCAACACAGTCTCACGGCATTTCGTGTTATAGTCACGAAATTCATCTATTGATTCGTGTCACACAGAACGATTTTAAAAGCAATGTAAATAATAACAAATTAGAAGGAAAAACAGATTTAAAAAAAATACAGATTTCAGTATTCTGACACAGAACGATTTTAGAAGTAATGTATTTATATTGGTAGTATGTTTCGTGCCTGCACCAAATAATAACAAATTAGAAGGAAAAAAAGATGACAAAAAATACAGATGTCAGTATTCTGAGGCTCTGAGCCATTTCTTTTCCTCGCGGACGGCAAAAAAACTCAGACATTATACAATTTAAGATAAAAGGGTTAGGGTAAGATATTGAGTAAGAAAATGTTTTTATGAACCACACAGCTTCCGGTATTCCAAGACCCGACCGGACAAAAAAACGTGGTGCAGGCACGAAACACACTACCAATAGAAATGCATTGCTTTTAAAATCGTTCTGTGTGACACGAACAAAATGCGAAAATCGTGTTGTTGAACACGAATCAATAGATTAAATACATTTCGTGACTATAACACGAAATGGCGTGAGACTAGGAGAATATTCACTGTGACTCCAGATGTGCTTGTGTAAGTGTCCTCAATGTGAAGCTTAAATACATATTTTCTGATGACTGAAAATCTTCACAGATAGCTTGAAACTGGTTTAAGTTACATAGTGTATAAGTTTAGTTCGTTTTTCTCATTAATCCAGTGGTGACAGCAAATAAAGTTGGGTTGCTTTTGTCCGGGTTGTTTTGTTTTTCTCGTCATGAGGAAAGAGGCATTACCAGCTGCTGAACGGCTTTTGTTTTATTTATTTCTCAGTTTCATTTCACACCAGCTGCTTGTCATCTTTTATAGTATGTCATTGATTGTTTCGTAACGCCCACCATGTTAGTCTTTTTTATTTCTGATTGTTTTGTCTTCACAGACCTCTACAAAAGACTGTCAACGAATCAGCAGCTCAAGAAGAAAATATACTGCTTGGAGACAACATCCATACCTCTTGATGGACAGCATTTACCAGAATCTGAGGTAACTATCCCTTCTAGCACACAACACATATGCACATGCTTTTATGTGCTTGAAAGGAATCTTACCTGAGCCATCAAGAGGCATGGAGGACGTTGGTATCACATCGCCGTCTCCATCTCTGTTCTCATAATTGGATGAGGTCAAAAATAAGCTGGGAAAAAAGTCAAGGAAAAGGAATCAATACACATTACACAAGTAGTTACCTTAAAGTTATCAACACAAATGTGCTAAAAGATATTATTGAAGACTCAAATATCTAGCTAATGATTCAGCTATTAACAGTGGAAACAATTCCTAAAATTCACCAATAAACAGTTCAAATATTGAGCTAAAAGTCATCAATAAACAGTTCAAATATTGAGCTAAAAGTCATCAATAAACAGTGGAAATATATAGATAACAGTCACAATTAAATAGTTGGAATATCTTTGCTAGATAGCAGGAAAATGTGCTAAACTTTACCAATACACAGTAAAATATTGACCGTTAAAGTCACCGAAATAAAGAGGAAATAGAATGCTTAAAGTAGTGAATAAATGGTTGAAACATATGTTGCCCCTCCAAGTGCGAACAGTGTGACTGAAAACGTACTCAACCAAATGTAAATCCTCACAATCCAATTGTATGAAAAAGTCACAATATTCACTTTTATATAATAAATAGTTTTAACAATAAATTCAAATGAACATGAACTCGAGCTTGAGCTCAGCTGACAGGGCGAAAAGGGTTGGAAAAAACCCCTCTAGTTTTCTTATAACTAGAATATCTACTTGCAGTCTTGTGCTATAACTGTCATCTCATTCCCACTGAGCACACGGCTGAATTATACATTTGCAGGCTTTAGATTCTCCCTGGCGGGGGGGGGGGGGGGGGGGGGGGGTGAGAGGTTGCCTTCTGTTATGCAAAATAAGATCCAAAGTTTGATAAGACGGTCCAAACTTTTGTGGCAAGGTCGAATGTATGCCTCAGTAAGATAAAAGAGGAGGGAAACATCGGAGGGTTTTGCCTGCTTGCCCCCGGCGGAGTATCTCAAACAGCTGGAAGGGTTCAGTCAGCTTTGGAGCAGATGAAAGAGAAAGTTGAAAGGCTCCTGCAGAGAAAGGGGGAAGAAAGTGGGAGTGCTTGACGACAAGGCTTTTTCAGAGTGATTCAGCATTTACTTGATGTCCCTCTCAGTCACTCCTTCCCATAAAAGTGTTAGGCTAAAGCTGCTGAAGCAACAGAACTGGAGTGTAATAAGCTGCTTGTGGTGCAGTAAAGGGGGATTTGCCTCGATATTGCTTGCGGTGCATGGCGGCCCCTCTGGGCTGAGATTCCTGGCAGGACACGGCGGACAGTGTAGTGCTAGGGTTTCATGTTTTGGATCTATTTACAGTGTTTTACCCCATCTGCATTTACAGCCATGGGGGAAGAAGAGAGTGCTGCATCGCTGCGACACAGCTGGCGGCATGCCTTCACTCAGAGCCCCTCCTGCTGGGGGAGAGGAGGAACTGCAGGGTTACTTCACTTTAATCTATTGTAAATAATTAAAAAGGTGTCTGTGTGGGAGGAGGTGAGGTCAGTTTACAGCAGGACCTTATGGCGCGTTTCCACTACAGCGCGGAGCACGGTTTAAGAGGGCTGTGACGTCAGCGGCCCGTCTTTGGTTGCGTTTCCACTTGGCCTAGTACCGGCCGGCGGGTCCTAATTCACAGTTTTTCTGGCCTCATAAAATCGCGGGTCCAGGGCTAGAGACAACGAGGCTGAGTCGGGCTGAGTATGCTAAACTAGAGAGAGCATCACTGGCAAGGGGGCTACAACTACAACAAGATGGACATATTTGACCGTGATTTAATTGTAATACACGTTTCAAAATGATGCCGAAGTAACAACATACTGATACCGGTTAGTAAAAACCATGAATTAATGCTTTGTCAAGTCTGCAGACAGACGGCAGGCGAAAAACCTTTTAAAATGCGTGTTTTCTAAATGGAGATTGGCTAAGCTAACGCAGTATATGCTCCGACCGTCCACACTCACAACAACGGCCTATACAGACATAAATAAAGCAGCGACTGTATTCACCATGACACAGGCAGTCTGTGGTTTGTACTTGTTTAACTTTTGTCTAGTTTCTGAACATATATGAGGAGCTGTGAGCTCTGAGTGCTCACAGCTAACGGCTGTGTTGTTTTTCTTCAGGGGACATTACATTGACTTGCATGCATTTCCTGGAGACTTATCCTAACCTTAACCATAACAACCCTAACCCTTACCCTTAACCTTACCCTAACCTTAACCAAGTCTTCACCCTAAAATTAATGATTCCCCTTGTGGGGACCTCCATTATGTCCTCATAAGGGAGGCGAGTCCCCACACGTGACTGTGTAAACAGATGTAGGTCCCCACAAGGATAGTAATGCTAGGACACACACACACACACATTGCTATACAGCTCCTGAGAGAACAGAGGGGAAGTGCTGCTATGAATCAAGGTGTTGCTCAAAATTGAAAAAGCATAAATAATCATTGATGGAAATGCGTACAGAAGTGGAGACCTACCACCTTTATTCATAACCTACCTAAGTACTAAAGTTGAGCGTAAGATATTTAAATAAGACTTGCATAGTTTTCTGATGCTAAGATATCTTTTTTTTCTGGAAAATGTGATAAATGGATGAATAATTTAGAGTGAAATAGTAAAAAATAATTTTTGCTTAAAAATTGACATAAATGATTAATTTGTTTTTCAGATGCTTTCCTCTAAACTTTAAGCAGTAGAGAAACAAAATGTCCTACTTTTTAATTACAAATCATAAGGCGGCCGGCATAGTGTTGTCATTGATAACAATTGAGACAAATAAAGTAGAGCCATTATTAAAGGAGTTTACCCTGTTTTTTTTAAGCAAATATGCAAAGAACCACCTATAACTTTATACTCAAACGCTATTAGGGTTCTGTGACAGTAAACTTAATTTTTCCAGGTATTGGAGAGTTTTAAACACAAACAATTAATGGATAAATCAAGAAAAAATAATTGTTAAAGCCAATTATAGAAGTGGAAATACTCTTTACACATGTGTTACACATAGCCATCACAGTGCTACAACTGAGCTGTGAGACCTAACAGAGACCAAAACAAATAAAGGTCATTCATTGTTTTTTATTGATAGGTACAACATTAAGACAATAAATGTGGCGTCTTACTCTTGTGACACAATGTTAACAAAGTACACTGTTCATGAACAAGCAACCATAAGACAAATATTATTTCTATCTCTATCCGTCCTCCCGTCCCCCGCCGATATTGCATTTTATGATACTATATCGTTCGTCACTATTTCTTGCATACACCTCTGTCAGGCAGAGAAAACCCGTGTACATATACAGTATCTATACATACAATCTACAATAACAGCAGTTTAACAAAAAGTGCTGTAAATTCATGCTACAGTGCTGTGCTAAATCAAGACTTACAAATACGCTTTCTCCACCTAAAGAAAAATTCAAAAAGATTAGTTCGAACTTCTGATAAAAATTTATTTTTTCTGATGTCGTTACAAATAAATCTTCATTGTTTGTTCCTAAAGATATATTACTTTCTTTAATTTACCCAACTTTTTTTGCAAAAGGCAGCAAATAATTTAAATAATTAAAATGTTACCGATTCATAATAAGTGATTTTTTTATGTTTTATTGAAGTATTTTGAGCCGTTAATAAATAAATTCCACGTGATGCTACAGTTTGATGTGTATAATCGTCGTATGAAATCTCAAACAACACATTCAACGAGTTTATCGATGCATTCTACTGTATCTACATTATACAGTCAAATACTAAAAAGTACAAAAGATAGTTTATGCTTCATAGATGAGAAACTGACCTAGATCCCGTGACGATGAAGACAAACTAAATTCACAGGCGTGTTTCACGATGTAAAACCTCAGTGGTATAAAAGTCGTCCCCAATAAGGCAAAACAACAACATGAGAGAAAAGGAAAATAAAGTGCCTATTGCGTGAATAAGTTAAGATGAAGGTCGCTGTACATGAGTTTAGAGGTTTAGAACAGGGTGGGTGTCAGTGTGTGGAGGGGGGGTCTTCAGCGCAGAGAGTTGACGGGCATGCAGTCACACAGAGCCCTCCTCTCCGCCCGCAGCACCAGCGTCTCTGTCTGCAACAAACAACAACAAACATGTCAATATCAGTTAAGTCTGAGGGTGTCACTAGTCCTATTTCTATCCTCCTCACTTTTAAAGTTTGCTTAAAGGTCCCATATTATACTGTTTTTCATCAATATCTTATAGGTCTCAGATATATACAAAACATGTCTCTGAAGTGTTTGGCTCCAAACACCAAACAGATCATTGCAGCATTACCCATAATCCCCTCTGTTTCAGCCCTGTTTCAAAAGTGCTGATTCTCTGTCTGTTACTTTGGATGAAAATAAGGAGCCACTCCCCACGCCCCTCTGAGAGATATTTGGTTAAAAAGAACACATTAGGCGCTTTCACACCGGAGTACTTTTACCCGTACTTTTCCTGTTTAGTTCCGTTAGTGCCTGGAATTTTGCGTTCACACCAAAAAGAGAATTTAGTTCATGAGAACTTTTACCCCCATTTTTAGTGCCTGCTAGAGAGGTGGGACTATCCTGGGGAGAAAAAGTATCAATTTCGATTGGCTGGGCGAATTGCAAACCACGCCCCGTAAAACTCTGAAAAGATTTTTGAAGCCGTCATTGTATTTGCTGGCATTAGCATTATTAGCATTAGCATTAGCCCCGCGCACCAACGGAGAGAGAATAACTTATGGCAACACAAAAAAAAACATTGGAGTGATGAGGAGGTGTCGGCGTTCTGGCGATTTACTCGGAAGGCTTCAGTAGAAGCTGCTTGGAGTCCCAGCAGCTTCTACTGAAGCCAGTCCCCAACTCCGGGGACTTCTGGCCGGGGACTTCGGGTGGCAGTATACGCCGTGAAGTTGTTAGCGGCCTGCCAGTAAACCCAAAGCAGAAGAAGAAGAAGTGATGTCAGCGGCTTCATTTGCGTAATCTTCCCTCAGGGAACTTATTCCGGTGTGAACGCGATCGGCTCTTAGTTCAATGGGGGTACTAAGTGCTGGGAACTAAGTACGGCAAAGTACTTGGGATGAAAGCGGCTAATGGTGCTCTAGGAGGAGATTCAGGTGATAAGGTGGGGGGGTTACCTTGGTTGGTTATAGAGTGGTGCAGGGATGACGTATTTACCCGGAAATAAGCTGCGCATGGGTTCCCTCGACAAAAAAGCAATGGGATTTCTCCATAGGATTTTGGAAAATAGCTCGAAATAAGATCTGTGGAAAACGAACCCGTTTGATAAATGCAAGTTTTGTTCAGCCGGATAATATCCACATGTAAATTTCGAATCATAAATCTAATCGCCAGAAGCAAAATGCTAACGTTATGCTATAAAGGAACTACAGCCGAGTACAGCAGGGTCGCACGACTTCACCGTCACGCCAACTTAAGATGCATATTCAAAAATACAGATTTGAAATTGTACAAGTTGAAGCGTTTGTTTTAACAGTTTGTAAGAGCGCAGGTACTTGCTTTCAAGCAGAACAGGGGCAAACAAACTTAGCGGGAGTGTTTACGTGTTCGGCATAATAACGTACAACGTCCTCGACAACTTCTGTAGTCCTATTCAGCCACTTGTTAACAACCATCGTTTTTCAGACACGTTAACTCTTCAAAAAACACCAGTGGGGTCATTGCTGATGTATTTAATGTCGTAGAACAAAACGTGATCTCTCTCTTAAACTTGTGTCAACCACAGACCTTATTTCCAGCTATTTTCCAAAATCCTATGGAGAAATGCCATTGGCTCTGAGACGAGGGAACCGGTAGTGGTAAAATGCTAACTCACTTCCGGGTTGTAGGACTCGTCACTGCACCACTCTATTGGCTAATGTTACACAAGCCAAGAAATCGTTATGACATCATAAAGTGGCCAAAATCTGATCAGCTCATTTTCAGACAGGTTTTTATATAAATGGATCAGGACAGAAAGAGAGAGAATCTTTGTTCCTGAAACTTTCAGAATCTCTTTACACAGAGGGGACACATGTTTATGTACAAAAGACATGAAAAAGTGGATTTTGCATAATAGGTGACCTTTAATTAACTAAAAGTCCAATGTCCTCTTAGTGTCCATATGCTCACATCCACATGGGAGAAACTCTTGTTCCATTAAAAGGTTAACTTGCAGGCTTTTTGTCCTAGATTCTGCATCTCCAACATACATGCTGCTGTGCTATTTTAGTGTTTTTGGGTTATATGCAGCTTGTGAGGACAGTGCAGACACTAGTCAATGCTGCATTATGGGAAAGAAAACTAGAACTTTATTTAGCCTTTTTTATTAAAACATAATTTTCTTACAAGATGCATGAACTAATTATCAATTAAAGCAGTAAAATACAGTGCTCTCTGGAGTAAATAAATAAATCATTATTTATTATTTGTAGAGGTTCAGTTTTGAATTGGGAAATATTATTTTACATTTCAGTCAAACAGTATATGAATGTTTGACAATAAATTATGTTTTCTACCAAACGTACTAAGGGTCTGGTGATAATCAATGAAATGTGATATTGTCATTATAATTATTACGTTAATGCAATATAAGGAACTTTTCTTGTGTGTACTAACAGCATAATAACCAATTTACCTTTAATTCAGTTATTTCTAGTTCATCTAATGCAGGGGTCTCAAACTCAAGGCCCGGGGGCCAAATCCGGCCCGCGACTTCATTTTATGTGGCCCCGCAAGAGCTTGCAAAGAATATAATACGTTTATTATACGGTTACATGCCACTTTACAGAAGCAGGTTGCCCATAAACTACATGTCCCACAATGCATCTCGTTTTGTGACACTGAAGAGACTTGCAATTATTTGCCCTGGACTTCTGCTTTCAGACGTAGTTAATTACTAAGTTATTATCCTATCCGATAATAATCCAATTCAGAGGCAATAATGTAATATAATACATTATTTTATATATATATTATATATTTATATAGTTACAACCAGCCCTTTGAGTGCAACCTTTATGCGAATGTGGCCCGCGATGAAATTGAGTTTGACACCCCTGATGTATAAAAATGAAGACTTATATTACTTAAATACTTCACCTAAAGAAGCTGACTTTATTGTGAATTCTACCAAATAACTTTACATTATATACAATGTATGTTAAATGACAGCATTTAAATTAACATCCAATATCAAGCCATCATCCAGCATAATAATAGCGTATGAATCATGAGCATTTAACAGTTTCTCAAATAAAAATATTGAAAGTATTTCTTCTCCTACCCTGGCGTCGAGGTTGAACGCAGTCTTCTTTAGATCTTGCAGGGCCCTCTGCATAAACTCAAATGCATGACAGTCCACACATGGGCGACCTGCAAATAAAAGGGACATTTTTCAGAAACGTGTCAGTTAGTTACACAGACATATTTACCTGAGGTTTGCTTACATCTAGAACTGCAACAAATAGTCGACACTGATTAGAAATATATATGCCAACTACCAAATGAACGAATAAGCCTTTAGGTACTTTTGCATGCAAACAATTACACTTTACACCTCTCAGATATGGAGTTTTTACTGTTTTATATCATGTAAAATCTGAAAATCTAATTTAAATACATGAATTGGCCTCTGAGAAACTTGGGTTGTACAATATTCAATATTTTCTGATATTTTACAGACCCAAAAGTGAACCATTGTTATCATAAATGGTGCCTGCAAAGGAAAATCATAGGTATTTGCCTTTACATTTCTATGACATTTGGGTCTTAAAGTAGCAGTGCAGGGCCCATTTTCTTGTTGTCACATATAGGCAATTAGGATGACCTACAATTCCCACCATGACACCTGTGTGGGGAGCTATGACAACACCATTGTGGCAGATTTCCACCACGCATATATTTATAAACCTGCACTGAACATGGAGAAAAATCCATATTTATATGAAATCCACCTACTTTCAGCAGGGATGACAGTCCCAGTCTCATGATCCGCATCAGCTGCACCGAGACAGATGAGCTGCACCGCCAGAAGGAGCACCGCTGCCTGCAGATATCCACTGGACGCCATGGTGCTGATCAATTACCTTTTGGAGCTAGAAATAAAATTGCCCAGGTGTTTGGTAAAATACAACAACAGAAAATGTTCCACACGGCCGTCAATCAATGAAATAACAGCATCTGATTGGCTTTGTTTGTAAAATAGTCCCGTTTTCATCGGTTAATATGTGTATGTATTTAAAAGTATGAATACACAGAGTATAATCACTGCTTATTTTACAAATGACGTGTTATCTTACCGTGAATCAGTCGATGATATTTGCAGAATCAACGCAAGATGCACACCTAGGGTTGTTTAATGTGGAGTACGGGAGTGCGCATGCGTGTGCCTCTATTTGCTTTGGGGACCAGAATCAAGTCTTCCGGTGAAAATATTCAAAATAAAAGCCTAGAAAAACTTAGAATTAATAAACTAACTGTAGAGATGTATTTACTCTGTCATACATTGTTTTATTTATGCATGAGTCATAGTTAATGGTACAATAAACAAAGTACTTAAATATGATTTTAAAGTACTTTACTTGTCTTTTTCTCGTTTTCTGCAACCCCTAAACAGACCATAGGAAAATATTGAACTGTACTTCACTACATTAATACAACATTTCTCGTTACTTCTTATTTTTCAGATCAAAAACGTGGTATGTTTTAAAAGAGAGTAAACATCACAAATAATGGGATATGTTTATGTTATAAAGTGTCCTAAGTATAAAGCTGTAAACATGTGCTCTAGCTCAATCAGCTGTTACATTGTTGCTTATATACTTCATTTGTAATAATATATATAGATACACTCAAGCCAATCTACGTAATAATTATTAAATGCAATATTTCTACTTTCACCTGAGTTAAGGGGACTTTTTTATCATTATAATATATTATAAAAAAGTGCATTGCATTAGTGAACTTACTTTAAAAATGTTCTTTGACATACAAGAATTGCACTGAAATACACAAAATGAAACTAAATGTTTTTTTCCTTTAGTATTTTGGCGCGAACTGAATAAATACAGTTGAACGTTTCAAACAGAGCAATTACATTCATATATCAGATAAGACCATAAAGTATTTTCCAGTTTTTATTTATTTTGTTGTGCTTCAATGTTGTCAAAAGAGCCCGGTGTGGGCGGGGTCCTGACTGTTTTCTTAGGTGGCCCGTTAAAATGCCCGAACTCAAAACACTTCTTTTTCCAAGATGGCGTCGATGAAGGACAGCGACACCGGCCTGTGGCTTCACAACAAATTGGGATCCACGGACGAGCTTTGGACGCCTCCGAGCATCGCTTCTCTCCTCACCGTGTCAGTAATTGACAACATACGGCTGTGCTTTTCGAGTTTGTCGCCGCCGGTGAAGCTGAAACTGCTGCTCGGGATGCTGCATCTCCCCCGGCGGACCGTGGACGAGGTGGGTCGCTTTTCGGTAGCTTTCTGTTAGCCTGACAGGTAAAGTAGGCTTTTAACTTAAAAACACAGCTAAGTAGTCAGCTCAATGTAAGACTAGTAGTTCTAAATCGAAGCATTACTTGTTCTGTTGGTGTTTAACTACAGGTGAAACGTCTAAACATGCTTAATCGCCTATTTAGTTAGCATTAGCTTGCTATCTCTAACTGATCATTTGCAACGGTTAATATAGTTAGCGAACTAACGTAAAAAACAGAACACGATATTCCTGCGCCCGGGCCAATTTACATCCGTTCTTGAGAAAGACGTCTACGCGTAAGTTCGTTAACTAGCTAAACGACCGACTTGACGATATAATCGCGTTTTTTCTGCAGTGGTTGAGCAGCGACACCGGGAAACATTAGCCTAGCTGTCCTCGTTCAGACATTATGGTGGGATGGGCACAAGAGAGCAGAGTGGCCGAGCTGGAGGCGGTCCCAGCATCTAGTCCCACTCATCACTTGATAAGCTGCCTCAACGTTAGACACCCGTCATCTTAGTCATGCATATTTAGAACGTTTGTTACAGACAAAATACCTTCTTCTGTAGTACCACAGTGTAGGAATAAATTGGCTTATTATATTAAGTACTTATTATGCAAAATCATATGTATTAAATGACTGGAGTATTATTTTTGATGGATTAATTTGTTTATCACCGCTGGTAAAAGTGAAGCCAATTTCCTTATTACTGCTGCTCGATATCTTAACCTATAATTATATCTTAGTGTTTATGTGTTTGTTAATTTATATGTTATAATTATAATAGTTTATTATCTGAGTAACTAATTTTGTCAAATAAATGTAGTGGAGTGAAAGTGCAATATTTCCCTCTAAATTGTACAAGTACCCAAAAGTATACTTGGGTACAGTACTTGAGTAAATGTACTTGGTTCATTTGCACCACTGCCCTCTCTGAGGTGGTGGCTCTCATGTACTTTACACAAGGAAATCAGATGAAGTGTAACTAATGCTGCTTGTAACTCAAATGATCTGACATGATTTGATTGCTGCCAGATGTCTGCCTTCATTGTAGTCGATGGTGTTGTCTTTATTTTAAATACTGTAGGTCGCTCTGATCTTTACTGTTGCCAACATGTCATCAGTTTCATTGTAAACAAGCTGCATGTAAATAATAATAGTTGACAGATGCTTCGCAAATCCTGTTGCATCATTTTGTCACAAGCTGCAGATACAAGTCTTGGGGATCAATCGACGATTAAATCGAAGCCATTTGACCTCTAAGAGATCTGCGGCTACACTGAAATGACACAGCAACAGGATAGGAAGGAACAGTTGATCAACAAAAACGAAAAAGACCGCCTTTTGCTTATATATTTGTTATTGTGAATGTAATGCATTTTAGATTTTCTTGCCATTGATCAGACGACTTAAAGAAAGTACTTTGGGTTTTAAATGACTGAAAGCTCAAGACATTAAACTGCAAATAAACAATAATAACGTCAAGTTCTCCTTTTATCATGAACTCCTCAGGTAGGGACAGGTCTTTGGTTTCACTTATCGTCTGAGTAACTCATTTTGTGGAGTGAAAGTGCAATATTTTCCTCTGGATTGTAGTAGAGTAGAAGTACAAAGTAGCAGTAAATGGAAATACTCAAGAAAAGTACCCCATAATTATACTTAAGTAAAGTAATTGATCAGAAAGTGTGTTAAAACTCAGACTTATGTACACAACTTTAGTGAATGTGTGAATTATTTTATTTCCTTTTTATCTCCTCTGTAAAGTGTCTTTGAGCACCTGAAAAAGCGCTTATAAATCAAATGTATTATTATTATTATTACTAACCCCGTCTTCCTCTCTCTTTAGATGAAGGAGGCCCTGTCGGAGATCATCCAGCTGGCGACGGTGGATTCGGAGCCCTGGGTGCTGATGGTCGCAGACATCCTCAAGTCCTTCCCAGAGACCGGCTCTCTCAACCTGGACCTGGAGGAGCAGAATCCAAATGTGCAGGATATCCTCGGAGAGCTGAGGGAGAAAGGTAGGCAGTGTGTGTGACTATGTATTTAGTTGTGGTGGACCCACATTGAGAGAATCCATGGGTTGAAAATACAACAGCATTGTAATACTAATGTTGTGTTACTCAGCCCGCTGCTCTGGAACAAATAATGTCATTACAGCAGAGTATGAACTTATGGTTAATACATAATGTTCTGATACAGTCTGGAAAATAAGAGGGTATTAGAATCTACTAAACACTTTTATTTGTTCTCAGTCAGCCCCCTGTCTTTTGATACTTTATGAATAGCTTGAGGGGTTCAATATTTCACATGTGATTGTGTTCATAACGTTTGGTGTATGTGGGACTTGTGAGCATATGTCATTGTTTTGAAATGGCATGTTATGAATGCATTTTTTTTATAGTATGAACTCATAAGGCCTTCAAAAGGTTTTCATTAACGATGCAAACCGTTAATAAAGTGTTGCTATGATCCTTTCTAGAGTGTATATACACCTTTTATTCCATCTGGCCAAAATTGGCATATGGATTCTAATGTTTAGTGATATTTTGCGAGCTTGTTTGCTAACATTTTTCATCTGCTAAACATGGGCAAGTGAGGTTGTGAAGTGAGTGCTAGATCCTCCATCTGTCCTTCTGTAAATATGCTGATTAATCTCTTCCCCTCGTCTTCTGTCCCCCCCCCCCTAGTGGGCGAGTGCGAGGCGTCGAACATGCTTCCTCTGGAGTGCCAGTACCTGAACAAAAGTGCGTTAACCACTCTGGTGGGACCCCTTACACCCCCCGTCAAACATTTCCAGCTGAAGAGGAAACCCAAGAGTGCGACACTCAGAGCGGAGCTGCTGCAGAAATGTAAGTTAACCTTCAACGAATAATTTTCTCTGCAGCAGTATTTGAAAGCATCAGTCATTTGTTTCCTTTGGCTTGATATTGGCATATTTGTACTTGTTAGGCATTGTTTACGATTGTGTGCAAGATCAGCGTGTGTACTTTGTTGATTATGTGTTCACAGTACATTACTTTCTTTTCCCTTCTAGCCATAGAGACAGCGCAGCAGCTAAAAAAGACAGCCGGAGTGCCTTTTCACGCCAAAGGGAGAGGACTGGTCAAAAAGATCGACACAACCAGTGAGTTGAATATCAATGAAAGCTCATTCAGTGCTTCTAAAAAAAAAAAAGTAGCATCATAGCAATCATTTTGACATATGTAGCCAAGAACGTTTTTATTCAGACTCTTGTTGCTGATACATTTGTTACTCTCAGCTCCTCTCAAGGGGATTCCCAACAAGGCCCCGTTCCGCAGTCCCACGGCCCCCAGTATGTTCAGCCCGCCCAGTAACCGCACGCCTATCGCCCCCGCACGGACGCCTCTGCGCAAGGAGAGGGGGGTCAAGGTAATGTCAGATTCCAGAAAACCCTCCTAGATAAAACTCAAGTCTGAGTCGTTTTATTGTGGTCTAGTTTTATTGCCTAAATGTATTCTAATCTTTTTTCTACTTTTTAGCTCTTAGATATTTCCGAGCTGGATATGGTCGGCGCTGGAAGAGAAGCTAAGAGGAGAAGAAAGACTTTGGGTAACTATATATCTAGTCTTCTACCAGCCCACATTTTAAAGCTGCACCATGAGTTCATGAGTTGGTGTCTTCTGCTTTAGAAACGGAGGCGGGTGAGAAAGCAGCCAAAGAAGAAGCGGCAGCAGCAGCGGTGGTGGTGGAGAACACCACGCCAGACTACGCCGCAGGCCTGGTGTCTGCACAGGTACTCTACTCCACAGCATTTAAACATTGTCTCAAGTTACTGCCTCTCTGTGTCACTCAGTTTTTCTCTGACCATCGTAACTAATGCCGTTTTGTTTGACAGAAACTGGGGGCGGTGACCGAGAATCCTCTGCCGTCGACCAGCTACCTGCCGGCCACACCCAGCATGGTCCCCTCCTCCTCTTACATCCCCAGCTCCGAGGCACAGCCAGGTTAGACAAACACAGAGAACTGTATTGTTTGCTCAAATAAAAGGGTTCTTACGGTCATTAAAAACCTGGAAAAGTCATGGAAATTCAAAATGCTAATTCCAGGCCCTGGAAAAGTAATGGAAATGTAACTAAAGTTGCATCAAATATAATTTATATTTTAGCTAATCGCCGAAAATAGTAATACTATAATGATAATAAATACTGTATCGTATAGTAATGAAACGTAAAATGGCATTTAACTGACGAGGTATTTTGCTGGTGAGACATTTTAGTTGCTTTAGCGTGTAGAAGCTAGTAAGCCTGCTATTGGATTTGTTTTAGATAGGCACAACATGTTTCATATGCAGACCACCATTTTCAGTGGTACCGCTGAGAAAGAGTCATTCTT